TTTTTTTTTTTTTTTCGCTTGCCTGCTGTCCTGATTTGGGGGTGGGGGTTGAAAGAAAGACCCTCTCACTTGTAAGTTCTAGGTATTCACCCATTCTCCAGCCTCCGCCTTTATATATTAATGCCTAGAGCTGGCTGGGCCTCACCCACACAGACCTCCCTGGTTAGGGCAGGGAGGAGAGGCCAGCAACCACTTGTAGTTATTTAAACTTTCCAAAGAGGTGCCTCTGTGGATTTCAGGGAGGGAGGTGGGAAGCAATGGAGACATAAGTACTTAGGCCATCTCTTGGCTGTGCAAAGTCATGCTTATTGGAGAGATTCTGTCCCACCATCCCAAGGGAGGCCAACTCCTTTGCTGAGTCTTCAGATCCTTGTAGAGTTTAGTTTGAGTGACCGGGGGAGTGTCCTTAGGTCAGCAGCCGCTTCAGGAATCCTCTTTGATCCCTGCTGCCACCTACGGTAGTCTCGGAGGAGAGTCTTCAAACATACCTGTATAATCTGAAAATTTGGTCCTGGCTCAGTCCATGGTCAACTTGAGCTCAAACCAAAGTAGCTTGGGAAAGATTGCTCCATCCTGTTTTTAAGGAGTTATTCAGCTTCATGTGGACAATTATTTATTGTCTGGCTTGGAATGGTGATGGCGAAGTGGGAACCTGGGCCTGGGCGCCTGTGGCTGTGTTTTTGGTGTCTCCTTCCCCCGCCTGGGAGCAAGCAGCCTGTGATTTCACTGAGCTTCTCTAATGCCATTTGGGGGTGGGGTGGATTGAGCTCATCCAAGTGGCCAAGAGCATGGACTTGGAGCGATGAGTCAGATGGACTAGCACATGTGACCCTTACCTACTCACTTCCCTACTTCCCAGGCCACTGTGAGAAGTGACAGTCTAGGTCTCTAAGGACCCAATCCATATCCTGCTAAATGCCAGCATAATGACTCAGTCTAGGGCCAGCTCACCTGGTGCACACCCATCCCTAGTGAAGCCCAGTCCTGGACAGCATTTCAGGCTGTTTGCTGCCTCATCTGCAATGGTCCAGGTCATGCACTCAGTACCTCTAGAGAAGAGCTCACTGCTAAAACTCCTTTTGTCCTGGAAAGAATGAGGCAGTCAGGCAGGGGTTAAATGCAGCGTGACAGCAGTAAAAGTCTGGGGCAGCTTTGGGCTGCTCTGCCTGCCAGACTAGATGGGCTGCTGCCTCATGCACCCTGTCATCCTGTCATTGAGGCAGAACTGGGCAACCAGTGAAGGGGGCGGGGATCAGGTGAGGGCTCCCCTCCCCTGCCCTGAGACTTTTCTTTAGCAGAGCCTGGCTATAGCTGGGTTATACTTCAAGACCTAAGGGACTTCTGTGATAAGCTCTGAGCCAGTGGGGCAGTGAAAAGGGAGGAAATGCCAAAGGATTCAAGATCAAGTTTGGCTTCCTATGCGTCTTTATTGCTGCTGTTACTGTGCCGTGATATTGCTTCTGCTGTGCTGTGATTGTCAGACTGCTGGTTGTTCACTTCAGTC